TGCCTGGTACCTGGAAGATGTTTAGTCTGGTAGTCACCATTCATTCATTCATTCCTTTATTCTTTGGACAGAGGGTACTGTGCTAGATTCTGTGCCCTCAGGGGCTCATAGTTTAGTGAGGGAGCCAGACAAATAAGGGAGAAGTACAAGGCAGTGGCTGGGCATGGTGGCTTATGTCTGTATTCCCAGCACTTTGGGAGGCTGAGGTAGGTGGATCAACCAGCCTGGCCAGCATGGTGAAACCCTGTCTCTACTGAAAATACAAAAATTAGCTGAGTGTGATGGTGCACACCTGTAGTCCCAGCTACTGGGGAGGCTGAGTCAGGAGAATCGCTTGAACTGGGAGGCAGAGTGAATCGAGATTGTGCCACCACACTCCAGCCTCGGCAACAGACTGAGAAGCCTTCTCAAAAGAAAAAGAAAAAGAAAAAAAAGAAGCATATGGTAGGGGTGCTACTACAAAGGCATTCGATAGCTTTAGACATGGGGTTACTGTTGGTCCTCGACATTTTTTTTCTTCGAGATAGCATTTCACTATGTCGCCCAGGCTGGAATGCATTGGCATGATCTTGGTTCACTGCAGCCTCTGCGTCCCAGGCTGAAGTCATCATTCCACCTCAGTCTCCTGAGTAGGTGAGACTACACGTGCATGCCACTATGCCCAGCTAATCTTTTTGTTTCTTTACTTTAGAGACAGGGTCTTGCTCTGTCGCTCAGGCTGGTGGTGCGATTATGTCTCACTGCAACCTTTGACTCTTGGGTTCAACCAGTACTCCCACCTTAGCCTGTTGTTGCCCAGGCTGGTCTTCAACTCCTGGGCTCCATCGATCTGCCTGCCCTGACCTCCCAAAGTGTGAGCCACTGTGCCTGACTGCAGCGAATTTTAAAAATCCATAGAGGCGTGGTCTCATTATGTTGCCCGAGCTGGTCTCAAACTCCAGGATGCAAGTGATCCCCTGACCTTGGCCTCCCAAACCGCTGGGATTACAGGTGTGAGACACTGCACCCAGCCATCAGCATGATGTGTATAGAACCAGTTACTCATTTAGTCCGTGGATTTATCTGTTAACACTGAGGATACAGCATTGCATAAGTGAGCTGGAGGTGGTTAGGTAATTAGATATGCATAAATAAAATGCCAGCTGCTGATGAGTGCTATGCAAAAGAAGGCAGGGTAAGTAAGGAGCCTAGAGAATAGGGGGTGATGGGGTTTGTTTTTTTTTTTTTTTTTTGAGACAGAGTCTTGTTCTGTTACCCAGGCTTGAGTGCAGTGGCTTGATCTTGGCTCACTGCAACCTCCGCCTCTCTGGTTCAAGCATTTTCCCTGCCTCAGCCTCCTGAGTAGCTGGGACAACAGGCACACACCACCACGCCCAGCTAATTTTTGTATTTTTAGTAGAGACAGGGTTTCACCGTGTTGTCCAGGATGGTCTCGATCTCCTGACCTTATGATGAGCCCGCCTCAGCCTCCCAAAGTGCTAGAATTACAGGCAGGAGCCACCACGCCCGGCTGGGGCTTGTTTCACAGGGAGTAGCCACAGGAAACCTGGTGAGATAACCAAGCAAAGACCTGAGGGAAGTGAGAGCTGACTTGAGCCATCTGCGAGCTCTCTCGGCTGAGGGGTAACAGCGTACGTGTGAAAACCCTGAGGTGGGAGCTTGCCTTGCTTGTCCAGTAGTTAGCCAGCCTGGCCGTGGTGGCTTATACCTGTAATCCCAGCACTTTAGGAGGCTGAGGTGACTGGGTCACCTGAGGTAAGGAGTTCTAAACCACCCTGTCCAGCATGGTGAAACCCCATCTCTACTAAAAATACAAAAAAATTACCTGGGTGTGGTGGCACGTGCATGTAGTCTCAGCTCCATGGGAGGCTGAGGCAGGACAATTGCTTGAACCCAGGAGGCAGAGGTTGCAGTGAACTGAGATGGCACCACTGCACTCCAGCCTGGGCAACAGAGCGAGTCTCTATCTCAAAAAAAAAAAAAAAAAAAAAAAAAGCCAGACCTGAGTCGGGGGGCTTATATACCAATAAGGATGGGAATGGGAAGAGGGATAAAGGACAGTGGGCCCAGGGGTTTTTTTTGAGACAGGGTCTCACTCTGTTGCCTAGGCTGGAGTGCAGTGGCACAGTCATGGCTCACTGCAAGCTCAAATTTCTGTGTTCAAGTGATCCACCCTCCTGTGCCTCCCCAGTAGCTGGGACTATAAGGACGTAATACTACACCAGCTAATTAAAAAAAAATTTTTGCCAGGGATGAGGGCTCGTTACGTTGCCGAGGCTGTTTTCAAATGCCTGGGCTCAAGTGATCCTCTTGGCTTGGCCTCCCGGAGTGCTGGAATTACAGATGTCAGCCACCATGCCTGACCCCAGGCCTTTTTAAAGTCCTGTTTTCTCTGCTTTTCAGCCTGTGGAAGCTCCAGTCATGCTGTGGGATGAGTCCAACTTCCCTTATATCTCAGCGGCTGTACGTGCCAACATGACTGTGAAGGTAAGAGTTTTAGATGGGCAGAACCTGACCAGTGGGGGGTGGGCTGGGCTTGTAGAAATCTGTACCTAGGGGACCTCCCTCACTCGCTTCTGCTACGTTTTTACCATTCTTAGGGCCAGAGTGAAGATCCTGGCTCCCTCCTTTCCTTGTTCCGGCGGCTGAGTGACCAGCGGAGTAAGGAGCGCTCCCTACTGCATGGGGACTTCCATGCACTCACCTCTGGGCCTGGATTCTTCTCCTATATCCGCCACTGGGACCAGAATGAGCGTTTCCTGGTAGTGCTTAACTTTGGGGACGTGGGTCTCTCGGCTGGGCTGCAGGCCTCCGACCTGCCTGCCAGTGCCAGCCTGCCAGCCAAGGCTGACCTCCTGCTCAGCACCCAGCCAGGCCGTGAGGAGGGCTCCCCGCTTGAGCTGGAAAGCCTGAAACTGGAGCCCCACGAAGGGCTGCTGCTCCGCTTCCCCTATGTGGCCTGACCCCAGCCTGACGTAAACCCACTGCCCTTCTCTTTTCCTCCCCAGGCCTTTAGGGTTCTCGTTTTTCTCTCTCTCTCTTTTTTTTTTTTTTCCTTTTTTTTTTAAAAAAACAGTCTTGCAGATTATAAGTGAACCCCCAAATAGGGTGTTTTCTTCCTTCAAATAAAAGTCACTCCTGCCTGGTGAGGTCTTGTCTTCCCTCTGCTTCTCTCGTAGTAGGAATTTCTCTTCCTCCTCCCCTCCCAGACCTACCCCATAGTGTTTTGGCTAGAGAGTTCCATGCATCTACTCCAACTCCATTATTTACGTAGGGACCAAGGCTCAGAGAAGAGGGGTCCCCCAAAGTCAACAGCAAGAAAGTGTCAGGGCTGGGATAGCACCCGTGCCTCCTCACCCGTGCTGGGCCACGGGGCTCTCTGGACATCTTGGGTCTTGCCAACTCTTAAGCTCATCTCCCTCAGCAAAGGGCTTTAGTGAAGCATAGTTAGTTAGTTGTCCTGTTTTTGCAGACTTGGCCTTTCACGGAGAAAGAGGTGATGGGATGGTCTGTTTTGTTTTGTTTTTGAGACGGAATTTCGCTCTTTAGCCGTGGCTGGAGTGCAGTGGGGCAATCTTGGCTCATTGCAACCTTTGCCTTCTGGGTTCCAGTGATTCTTCTGTCTCAGCCTCTTGAGTAGCTGGGATTACAGACGTCCACCACCACACCTGGCTGATTTTTGTATTTTTAGTGGAGATGGGGTTTCACCATATTGGCCAGGCTGGTCTCGATCTCCCGACCTCGTGATCTGCCCATATATTGGCTTCCCAAAGTGCTGGGATTATAGGCGTGAGCCACTGCGCCCGGCTGGGTCTGGTTTTTAAAAGGTATTTCTAAAAGATACTAGAGGTCATGCATTCAAGAATTGGTTGAACACTCAGCACATGCTAGAAACTCTCCATGTCCTGGGGTTATAGCAGGGAACACAGCACAAAAATTCCTGCCTCCTTGGGGCTGATACTCTTGTGGAGAGACAAAAGAGACACAGCAGTTACAGTACAGTGGACACGGTGACAGTGTTTTTCTGGAGGGAAAAGTAAAGCAGAAAAGGCGTCCCAGGGTGGTGGGGCGCAGAGGAGGCCTCACCAAGGAGGTAACCTGAGTAAAGGAGTTCACCTGGTGAGTATCTGGGGAAGGCTTCCTGGGACTGGGGTGGGGCCTGGCTGATGTGAGAGAGGAGTAAGAGATGAGGTCTTGGCCGGGCGCGATGGCTCAAGCCTGTAATCCCAGCACTTTGGGAGGCCGAGGCAGGTGGATCATGAGGTCAAGATATCGAGACCATCCTGGTCAACATGCTGACACCCCGTCTCTACTAAAAATACAAAAAATTAGCTGGGCATGGTGGCGCGCGCCTGTAATCCCAGCTACTCAGGAGGCTGAGGCAGGAGAATTGCCTGAACCCAGGAGGCGGAGGTTGCGGTGAGCCGAGATCGCGCCATTGCACTCCAGCCTGGGTAACAAGAGCGAAACTCCGTCTCAAAAAAAAAAAAAGAGATGAGGTCTTACCAGCAAGGAGCGGGCAGATCATGACTGTTGTAATGAGGTGGTCACTTGGGGCACAGAGAGTTTGGCAACCTACGTGGTTAGAGGGCATGGTCCCCACAAGTTTGTCCTCACTTCAATACCAGCTGTGAGTGTAGTGGTCCCCATGACCACCTTCAGGTAGGTAATAGGCTAGAGTGATTCACAGAACTCAGGAAGGTACTGGGATTATGGTTTTATTACAGCAAAAGCAAACCCAGAGCCAGCCAAAGGAAGAGAGATCCTGGGGCAGGATCTGGGAGGGAGCTAAAGGGGAAGCTTCCCCCTGGCTTCTTGCAGTGGAGTACGGGTACGGCTTCCCGGCCTTGATGGAGGTGTAACCAGAGAAGCTCCCTCGATCCTTGGGTGTGCTGAGTTTCCCTTGCTGCTTAATCGCATAGTGCTCTGTGGCTGACCTTTAATCGTCAGCCCCAGCTGGAGCTTTGGGCTAAGGCCTTTAGTTGTCTTCATTTCTCCCAGAGGTTGCCTGTCCCAAAGCTCAGGTCGTAAATCACAGTTATCACTGCCGCTCCTGTTAGCCAGGACATTCCGTGGGTCTAGAGGGCCAGTAGCCGAGGGTAAAGGCCAGACTGCCGAGTGAGATTAATTCTTCACTATCATAGGGTCCGAGGGAGTGGAATGGGAGTCAGTTGTTGGAGGGTTTTGAGCAGAGTGACATGGTCTCACTTGGAATTTAACAGACTTACTAGCTGTTGACTAGCCTGCAAGCTGGGACGCCAGTAAAGATGGTTTGTTCCTGCAACCTAGGATGCTTTGAGGATGGCAGTAGTGGAGGTGGTCAGAAGTGTTTGGGTCCTGTGTTTATTTTGCAGGCAGATCCGCAGTATTTGCTGTGGGATCCTGCTGCAGTACCAGTGATGTGCGCAGGCCTCATGGCCCTTGGGGTTAGTTTGGCCCTCCTAGCTTTCTTACAGAAAAGAATAGGGGCTGGACACAGTGGCTCAGGCCTGTAATCTCAGCTCTTTGTGAGGCTGAGGTGGGGGGAATCACCTGAGGTCAGGAGTTCGAGAACAGCCTGACCACCTATATGGCGAAACCCCATCTCTACTAAAAATGCAAAAATTAGCCAGTTGTGGTGGTGGGCACCTGTTGTCTCAGCTACTGGGGAGGCTGAGACAGGAGAATCACTTGAACCTGGGAGGCGGAGGTTGCAGTGAGCGAGATGGTGCCACTGCACTCCAGCCTGGATGACAGCAAGACTCAGTCTGGAAAAAAAAAAAAAAAAAGAATACGGGTCACTGGTGCAGGCTTCCCTTACCATGTTCTGTGGCCTGGGGTGCGCCTGGGCCTCTGATCTCTAGGGGAGAGAGAGATCAAGAGATTAAAAGACCCAAATTAAGGCCCAGGATCCTGAGGTTGTCAGCACAGTTCCTGAGAAGACACCCAGCCTGCTGGACCTTGGCTCCCCTCTGCCTAGGTTTCTCTTCTCTCTCAGTAACCCCCCCCACCCCCCGCCCCACCTCCTGGCTCTTGCCTGCTCTGGGCCTCTTCCTGAAGCTCCCCACCCTTCCCTCTCCATGTCCTTTCCCAGGGTCCCAGCTCCAGCCCTCCCCCTTTCCTCCTTCCTCTGCCTCCTGGACTCCCCTTTTAGGCAGTTTTCATCATGGTGCTGTTACGGATGGAGCCTCATTATGGTTCTGTGCTTATTTAATTTTCATCTTTCCCCCTGTCCTAACCACTAAACCACCAGGGAGATTTTCACTTAAGAAAAATATGGTAAGGCCAGGTGGTGGCTCATGCTTGAGCCTCCTAGCACTTTGGGAGGCTGAGTCGGGAGTTTGAGACCAACCTGGGCAACATAGTGAAACCCCTGTCTCTACTTAAAAAAAGAAAATTAGCTGGGCATAGTTGCATGTGCCTGTAGTCCCAGCTAACCTGGAAGCTGAGGTGGGAAGATCACTTCAACTCTGGAGGTTGAGGCTGCAGTGAGGTATGATTGCACCACTGCACTCCAACCTGGGTGACAGTGAGGCCCTGTCTCGAAAAAAAAAAGGATTGTAAAATACTATTTATTTTTGAGATGGAGTCTTGCTCTGTTGCCCAGGCTGGAGTGCAGTGGTGTGATCTGGGCTCACTGCAACCTCTGCCTCCCGGGTTCAAGCGATTCTCCTGCCTCAGCCTTCCGAGTAGCCGGGATTACAGGCATCCACCACCACATCCGGCTAATTTTTGTATGTTTAGTAGGGACAGGGTTTTGCCATGTTGGCCAGGCTGGTCTTGGAACTCCCGACCTCAAGTCATCTGCCCTCCTCGGCCTCCCAAGTGCTGGGATTACAGGTGTGAGCCACTGTCCCTGGCCATTAGCAAGCATTTTTGAGTTACAACTTTCTGGGTACAGGGGTGAACAAGACCCTGTTCTGACATGATTTCCACCTCCAAAAGACCAAATGCTTGAAATTATAAGCACTGAGACCCTCTTAAGGATTAAGGGCACCACATAATGAGATAATTGGTTTAATGAGACTTTCACTTTTAAGTCATTGTGACACACCTAGGACGACTGTGGGGACCCCATTTACAGAGGCTGGGGGCTCGGAGAAGTAAAGGGAGGGACCTTCTAGACATAGCAGTGGAGCTGCCATTTGGACCCAGGCCTTAGCACCATGGTCAAACCCCATGTGCCAATGGACTTGGTCCTTCTTGGGATCACTTGAACTCTGTTACCTGCCCTTCGATCTCGGGCTGGGGAGCAGGTGGACATCTCCGTCAGCCTGAGCCATTCTTCTGGTTCCAATCAATGTGCTACATGTTGGAGACATAAACTGGACTAAAATACTGTGTTGCTGATATGACCTTCACTGATTGGGAGTGAGAGCAGATGTGTAAGTAATCGCCTCCCTGAAATAATGGCTGTGGAGGACCAGAGTCTCTGATGGGCAGAGGAGGAGTTTAACCTCAGAGGGATCTGGGAAAGCTTCTGGAGTCTTCATTTGAGCTGAGACTGAGGTACCAGTAGGCATTCATGTTATGCATGTGAAGGAAAAGGCCACCGGGTATAGGTGACATTATGTACCACTGCTCAGTTGAGACAGCATGACAAGTGTCAGCAACTGTAACTGGGACATAAAGCATGATTTTGGACAATTTGGGAGAGTGGTGAGGGCCAACCAGAGGCTGAAGTTTAAAGGGCTTGAACAGCCATGGCTCAAGTTGTCTATATTTTACCACATCATATAGATTAGTGACTCCCGGCCTGCTTATTCAGAATCCTCTGGAAAAAATTTTTCCCATCCAAATTATGCCAAATCGGAATCTCCAGGGGGGATATGCCATGAAACTCCAAGGGTGTGAGCTTGGAAGTTAATTTTAATTTTATGTTATTACTTTTTTTGAGAAGGAGTCTCACTCTGTTGCCCAGGCTGGAGTGCAGTGGTGCGATTCGGCTCATTGCAACCTCTGACTCCCGGGTTCGAGCGATTCTCCTGCCTCAGCCTGTGGAGTAGCAGGGGTTACAGGTGCTTGCTATCATGCCTAGCTAATTTTGTTTTTTTGAGACGAAGTCTTGCTCTTTTCCTACAGGCTGGAGTGCAATGGCATGGTCTTGGCTCACTGCAACCTCTGCCTCCTGGGTTCAAGTGATTCTCTTGCCTCAGCCTCCAGAATAGCT